CCTTCTGAATCGAGTTTGTGCAACACTTGTTCCTGTTTTTCTCTCTTTCGTATATTTTCTCAGCCAGCGGCATGAGAATCAGATGAATCTCTCATAGGTCTGTTGGTAATCTGCTTTAATTTTGGATTTTGAAAGAAAGAAAGAGCTTCAAGTGTTCAAAACGGGTTCAAAATGTTCAAAACGGGTTCAAAAGAACCTTGTTGGAGAACTGTTCTTAAAAAAAAAAAAAAAAGGTTTTGTTTTTGTGGTGGGTTGTTTATGACGGTCTGGACAGTCTGCCTTATGTCCAGTGTGCACATGAAGCATCACCCCAGCTGGATCTGCCACGCTGGGAATGTGTCGCACGGGAATTTTCCAGGCATTTGGGAAGTTCCTCGTTGCTGCTCACGTCACCAAACCTTGGATGTGCAGTACAAACACAGGCCAGGACAGGAGAGCTGGGAAAAGGAGGTGTTTCAGATGGCTGATGTATATAATACAGGATCGCGTGTGTGCATTTAATATCCTTTTTGGTGGGGTATATGCTCCAAGGTATTTTTCACTGAGGAATTTATCGACTCTGTTTAGTTTCCACAACAGTTTAAAATATCAACATCATTTTCAGGTTGATGAGTTTTCCCAGTCATTTATCCCCCAAACTCTATCTCGCTTCATCTGGCTCATAATTGGCAAGGGGCTGGTGCGTAAGCAGGCGCCGTCGCGTTGCATTTGAATGGGCTACTAATGTCAGGAATGCAGCTACATTTGGAAAAGCAGAGCATAGGTTGGAGTAAGAATAGGTGCTGAAATACCTGAGCGGATATAAGGTAGTTTTCATGACTCGGCCCCCACGCTTTAAGTGCTCAGAGTCACAGCAATTAACTAGCAGCTGCTTTCTGCAGAGATGAAGATGTGAGCCTGAAAACTGCTGGCAAGAAAGCTGTTTGAATTGGTTTTTATTTACTGCAAATCAACAGGGCATCTTTGCAAGTATAGAAGACATATGGAAAAGTCCACTGCTGTAGTTGTACTTTGTAGTGTATCCAGATGTTCTCCCTCCTGTCCTGCTCCAGGGGCTTAACACAGAAAATGTTTTCTCATTGCTTTTAGCCGACGGTGCCAACATCTGCCTTGGCATTTCCCCGGGGAACGATACGACCATTATGTAGAGTTTCTGACTTACCATCCATATGTCTTTTTTTTCTTTTCTTTTTTTTCTTTTTTTTTCCTTTTTTAATTTGTTTTTAAGTATTTTCCATTGAACTGATATTTTTCCATTGAAAAAAATAGTATTGTGTGTCTGCCTCCTCCTACTTCCCTCACTTCCTTCTCTGAATAGAATATTATATATTTTTCTGCTAGTAGCTGTTCAGTGCGGCACTGACTTGACTTATTTTTTGATTCCAATGCTTTGGAGTTGGTGGATTTTGCTGGGGCCCCGGGACACCACGTTCTTTAGGATCCCACCTTTTTGCTCCCTTGCTGGCGCTCTGCACGTTGTTCTTTGTTTCCTTGTGTGTTTGCCGGTGTTTATAGTTCACTGCTCTTTCCTGAGCTCCTAGCAGGAAATTCCCAAGACAGCCGCAGAACACCCCCTAAATCAATTTTACGAAGGCCAATGCCCTAACTAATGTATTTCTTGGAGTGAAGGCACAGAATAAACTCTTCTGCAGATATTCAGGGGGGAAAAACACAGTAGGTGCTGGTTTCTCCACAGGCTTTCGGGCAAAGCTGTCCATCATGGATAGCTCCAGCGTCACTGCTGCTGCGTGGCTCAGCGCAGCCTGAGCTTATAATTTATGGGCATTGGCCCTATCAGTCCTCTGCTATCTTACCCAATCATTGCTTTTTTATTAGGAAACATCTTGTGCCATTTATTAGCTTCCCAGAGCAAGCCTGAGAGTGTGAGTCGACATCGCTACTTACGGGTTTGTGTTTTTTCTATAGGTGCCTATAAACAGAAGGAATAGTACAAAGAGGCAGCATTTATTGTGTGGTGGTTTTCTTTTTAGAGCAGTAATATTCTATAGGCAAATAACATCATTTGCTTTTTCATTATGCCAACGGTAATAGTGTAAATATTGCTGGTGCAGTTAGATAAGTTGGTATGCAAGGAAAATAACAGCATATTTCTGCTGGAGCTTGGTATGCAGAATGAAGACTTCTGCATGTAGAGGGATTAAAATAACCTGTACAGATCAGAAGTTTTCAGATCCATGGGCTCTGATTGCGGCTTATCTCTTTTTCCTGTAAACCTAATTGCTGTGCAAATTTCATGCAGAAGATTTTGTGTGGTAACAATTCCCCTGTGAATGCATGTGAGGAAGTAAGGTCAAAAGGTTTTATTGAGCTGGTAAATTTTGTCTAATTTTATTCAAGCGCTCACACGCTTAGGTGTTGAGCTCGGAGTGGGATCTCATCTGTAACTCGGCTGTGAACATTTGCTCATTTGTTTTCCTCTGCCTTCATGCAAATCGTGCTGTCTCCCTTCTGTCTTTGCAGGTCAGGATCGCAGCGAAGCCACTTTAATAAAGAGATTTAAAGGTGACGGTGTCCGATACAAGGCCAAGCTGATTGGGATAGACGAGGTTTCTGCCGCCCGAGGAGACAAGTTATGCCAGGATTCCATGATGAAGCTCAAGGTGCGGGGCAGCTTGGAGGGGTTAATAGCGTGGAGCCAAAGGGAGAGAATTTCAACTTGACCTTTTGCTCATTCTCCTTTCACAACACTGAGTCACACACTGGTTAATTATGTCTTGAAATCAGTCAGTTTTACAAAAAACAATGTTCCTTATCCCAGTTTCACTCTAAGAGATGGTCTCGGAGCTCTGTAGTTGCTCATGACTGACACAGCGGCACCTCGTATGCCACCAAACGGAGAGGATGCCGGTCCTAAGGACCTATCCCTGGATAGGCAAAATACAAAAGGGCAGAAGAAGAACAGATGACAATGCATGAAAAAGTAGCAAAGGGAGGAGATGCACATCTTTTGGTTCAACACTTCAAAAAGAAAATCTGGTAGACACTTTACAAATCAGTTATGGCCAGTTTCTGACAGCAAACAGTTAATCTATTCTAAAAGGTACCCTCTAGATTTCTCAAAACTGCCACAACATTCTTGTCTCTTGTTTGTATCCTAAGCATTTCCCAGCAGTTCTTGGTTCCTGGAAGCAATTTTGAAGATGTGTCACTGTTCTGTTGGGCAGCCTTTTGTCCCTTTCCTTGTAGACTTATCATTTCCACATCTCCAAGGTGCCTGATTTGAGTAATGGTGAGATTTATCTAACACTGTTGAGAAATGCATAAAACTTTTAGGTACAGCGAGCCTCAGAAGTTCATGTTTGAGTATAAGGGGGCAAGTTGTTGTAGAGTCTACCAACCTGAGTTTAACACCAAGGATAAGATTTTGGGGTGATGTTGGAGAAATCACTTGTTTTTTTATTTTTAATTTTCATGTCAGTGTAATGGGAATGATGGCCTCATAAGGGTCTGAGACAAGGAAGTAGTGATTGTTTACACATTTTGAAGATGCAGAGTACCAGATACAGGCTAAATAATTTTATTTATTTGCTAGCTCGGTTGTATTTGTTCTTAGTACAGTGATCAAGGCAGCCAGGATCCCGAGAGGACAGAATTTCTCTTAGGTTTGTGCTGGGGAAGGATAACTTGTGAACGTCACAGCAGGTTCACTTACGGACTTAGATCGTGAAAACATCTAACTCCACCCGAGTGTTTTTACAGTAGCATTTCACTGTGGTCTGCAAAAAAAAAGTTGCTTGATTTTTTTTCCTATACTGTTTGTTTTTTAAAACACAAAATAATTTATTGCTGCCAAAAAAAATAGTGTGTTAGGAATGACCTTCAACTTTCATGAAAACAAATTTCACGGAGGATTAACTAGTTCAGGGATTGGAAGTAAGAGCACATTTGAAATGATTTCTGGACAGCATAAAGAAATGTGGTGCTTGAAGAAAAAGAAGTATG